TTTCTAATTCTGAATAATATCAAAATATATTTGAATATTTTCTAATATTTTTTGTCTAATTAATTCGACAAAATTATATGAAATAATTTTGAATAATTTTGAATAATATTAGAATATATTTGAAAATAATTTTTTGACTAATTAATTTGACAAAACTATAGCAAATAATTTTTTATAATTTTGAATAATCTCGAAATTTATTTGAAAATAATTTTTTGTCCAATTAATTTGACAAAATTGTATCACATAATTTTTTATAATTTTGAATAATATCGAACTAATATTTGAATATTTTCAAATATTTGAAAACATTCTTTTTTCCTTTCGTATAATTCTAAAAATAATTTTGAAAACTTCGTTATAAGATATTGAGTCATAAGTTATATATAAATAGATATATATATATAATATAGTTATATATCTCGGAAGTGAAAAACGATCTTAGAATTATCTACTTATCCGTGAGACACTTGTCATCGGAGAGTTCTACGACCGACATTAATTCCCGTTCTAATCTGTCACCTCTTTCCACGTTTTGTAATCCCTTATTATTACCTTCCTTTTTTAATAGAATCGATTAAAGTCAAGATTACAGTTGTCATTTTTTATTTGATCTTCATTCTCAAAAAAAAAAAAATGCGACGATGACCACACATTCCATGTTTAAAATACTTTCGACCAATCTGTTACCAATTTTTTTTATTCTTAATATTAGGGTGACAGAAAAGTAATCAAAATCATTTTTACTAATTACAAAACATTTATTTATTAAACAAACTTCATATACTAATCAACAACAAATTTGTTCATCATTTTCTAACACTTTTTGTCTTACGTAAAAGAAATTGTTTAGTTCCCTTTAAAGTTCTTCGATGTTTCATTGACCACAAACTAAATGTTAGTATACTCATCGATAAAATTTTGATGACTTTTTTCAGTACCCTTAATATATAATATCTTATTTTAAACCTTCATATAAAATGTCACATAAAAACATCATAATAAATAATCTTCGATCATTATCAAAATACTTTTAAACACGATCGTATCTTATGGTAAAAAAATCAATCGAATAAGATCCTTCCAAAGACCATTTAAATGTCTCGACGAGTTGTCTGGATGAAGGGAGGGGGAAAGGAAATGAATAAAAATAAAAAAACAAAAAAAAAGCATTTAAATACCCTTTCCGCTCTCGTGGGAGACTACAACCTTGTTCTCGAGCAACAAAATAAAAATAAAAAAATATCAAAAAAAAGAAGAACCAATAAAAAGTAACTAAGGACGAATGAAGGTGCCGAGTGAGAAGGGCAAAGAAATAGCCCAACAGCAGCAGCAGCAGCAGCAGCTGCTGTCCTCCTAAACCTTATTCTTTGTGTGCTCCTTCCTACAGGTTGGCAGGTGTCAGAGTGAGATACATCTGCTAAGTTGCACGCATATCCTGCGACCCGTGTTTTTCGAAGACGTGAAGAGGAGAGAACCAAAAACAGGGCTCCTCCCTCTCCTCACAACTTCTCTACGTTATAAACTTTGATGTTGGTAGTAGTATCATGATACTCTCACACTATTTAAAACGTGATTTTACACATACAACCCCGATTGCAAAAGCAAAATCCGATCACCTGCTATCAAAATTTAATGCACATATCGGCCAGGTGTGTTCCGATACATATAAGGTATATAAGAAATATACCTATATTATATATATATAATCTGTATAAGGAGATAAAAATAATAATCAAATCCAAATAATACAAAAAAAAAAAATAAAAAAGAAGGAAATATTATGTTTTTTAATTATTATATAAATTAATAAATATAATAAATATAATTAAATAAAAATAACCAAAAAAAAGAAGAAAACGAAATTGTTAATTGATTATTATTATTATTAATTGGTATTAGGAACTCGAAAATCCATTGCCTAAATTTGGAATAAGAAAAAAAAAGATAGAAATGTTAAATCATCAGAAGAAAATTAAGAGTTCTCTCTGGTTCCCTTTTTTTAGAACGAAATAATAATGATAGGTTTTTGAAATTCGATGGGGTTGTGTTGTAATAGTGGTTGTGGGTGTTTCATTTTTCTCTTATATTATTTTCTATCTTTCTTTCTCTCCTCATCGATTTGTAGACCACTTCTTCTTTTTCTACTTCCTGCTGTTATTATTATTATTATTATTATTATTATATTTTAGTTCTTTATCCTACTGGACCCTTGGTTCTCATTTCTTTGTTCAGCAACAACATCTGTTCAAATCTCTCTTCAGATTTCTCCTTCACCAAACCACCACCACCACCACCACCATCACCCTCACAACCACCCTCACAACCCTCATGTATTAGAGTTTCTCTTGAATTTTCCATGCCGAAAAATGTTGAAAGTTTTCATATATCTTCTTCTTTCCTTACATGGGGAAATAGAGGGGTGGGTGGGTTTTTTTTACCTTACTCTAGTTTCAGCTTTATCTACAAAAGAAATTTATACCGAAACCACGTGTTCCAGTTTTAAAAGAAGGTTGAGGGAGGATGATGCACTCGGGGTTGTTCAAGGATTCGTAAAGATTTCTTTTTCTTTTCCTTTCTTTCTTTCTTTCTTTCTTTCTTTCTTTCTTTCTTTTTTCTTTTATGAAACTCGATACGATTTTTTTTTACAGAAACCCATTCATATATTTTTTTTTTTTTTCGTGAAAACACGTTGTTTCAACAACAATTTGGAAAAATATTTAACGTTTGTCATATTACGTTTAACAATATTTTTTTTTTATTTATTTATTTACTTTATATTAACCTGTTAATCGGGTGGGACGTATAAATACGTCAAACGTATTGCTTTAAAACTAAAGACACAAACTTTTGTATTTTATATATAAATCAAAGTCTTTTCATTTATTTTAACCATAAATAATAATAAACAATAAATATATAAAAAATAATAAATAAATAATAAAAAAAAGCTGCAAAATTAAAAAGGGATCTTCTTGGTTAACAGGTTTAATCGTATAAAATAAAAAATAATAATAAAACAATAAAAAAAAAATAAAAGTATTATTTCAACAAATAAAAATTAGTTCACATTTTGTTCCAACCATAAGAGAATTAAAAGAAAACCAAAAAGTTTTCGTTTTTAACCCATCAATATTAGCACACTCAATGTCCCATTTTTGGGATACACATTTTCTAACAAATTTTTTATTTAATTAATAATTGCAACTTCAAATTGAGAAATACAATCGTTGAAATAATGAAATCGTACCATTGTAAATCAAATGAAGAATAATTATGGTAAAATAAAAAGTTCCAGAGAGTTAATTATCATGAGAATCAATTATATAGTTAATTTAATTTCATTCATTTTTGTTTGTTTTTTCTTTTTGTGTATTTTTGTATTCTGCCAAATAATGGGTTCAAGTTATTGCATTCGTGATCAGCTAGCACCATAGCAGAAGCAAACATTTAACTTACATTTTCTTCTTGCAAAAGTTAACGGGAACAACCTTGCAGTTTACACAAACGTGCTACTAGGCACCGAATCACGTGTTTAGGTTTGACCTAAAAAATGGTATACAACGTGACTACATATGCGCACATATTTCATTATTTCCTCAATAATTAAGACACACACACACACACACATACTGTTGTTTGCTAAAACTCGAAGAAAAAGGATAAAAGAAAGAATAAAAAATAAAAAAAATGAGAGAAAATTGGATAAGGAGTTAAGTGTATAATTTTTGTTAATTAACAAAAAAAAAAAGTAATCGTGAGTCAGTTCTTAGGACAATGGGGGTCTTGTGAAAGTGATCTACAAGGTTTTGTAGGTGCATGGAACATCGATTGGTTGATGATCATTAAAAGGTAGCCCCCATGGGCTTTCCTTTATTCTTTCACGACCAACCATTGTCTTCGTTGATTGTCCTCCTATAACGGGTGTTTCTTTTTTTTTCAAACGATACTTTATTCGAAACACTTCGATATCTCGTTGTTGATACTTGCCACGTTATTTTATCGATTACTATCACATTTTACACATCGATATTTTATTATTATGGTGAACCCATGAAGTAATGTTAGGAAAACGGTTTTCTTTGTGAAATACACTTTCAATGTAACACATTTGATTTAAGTGAAAAACGTACGTTGACCTAACATTTAACGGGACGACAAACGAACGGCTTTAACGATTTGACATTGACAATGGATCAGTTAGTAGAATGACCCTGTGTCAGGACATTGCCCCATGTTTCCGGACACACCTGTGTATATATTTGTATATGTGTGTCTTTCTTCCAAATTAAACTACGCACGTGGACGATGAGTTTGCAAAGATCTTTTATACAGATTTGTTTATTTTTTTTTTTTTTTTTATGCGCACAATTTTTTTATATTCATATGTATATGTTATCTTCATTCATTTATTATTTTCTAAAAATACTGTAGATTTATTCATCTTCATCGTTGGTACAGCAATACAGCATCATCTTTTTCTCCTTTTTATTTTTATCATAAAATCTCCCATATGTTTATGAATAAACCATCGTTCATTTCACGATTTAAACAAGACGATTATTAATTAGTTGAATTTTATAAAAAAAAAAAATATGAAAAGTAAGGTTAGGTATATCATATGTAAATCTGAAAAATACGTGAAGTAATTGAATTGTTATACAGTGCCATCTACTGAAAACTTACAGTACAGTAAAGACCAAGATAACCTCAAAATATAATAAATCTTTAAATTAGCGATAAAAATAAGAAATAATAATAATAAAAACCATCGTATATCCTAAATTGAAACAAAACACGTAAAATAAACATAATTTTATTGAAATCGGTTCAGTAATTTCAAAGTTCCTTGCAAACCAACAAAGTGACACTGAATTTTTATATATAAAAAAGATATAAATACAGAATAAGAAATAATAATGAAAATGATATTTTTCTAAATTAATCATTACTTTAATTGTGATAATTTATTGATAACAAAATATTTTCATAAATTGCAGAGTCCCGGAACGCTGCACAAAGATGTCGGCGGTGCTGGTACCAAGGTTAGTGGAAAGACAGTCGGAGGTGTCGGCACTGCAACCCTCACCACCCTATCATCCATTAATAATACATCAAATGCCACTCGAAACAAGAACAATCCAGTACCACACGAGGTAAGAATAAACTATATATATATATATATATATACTAGAGCATATTTTGTAAGAAAAACCCTAAAGGCGAATTGTATTCAAAAAAAACCCAACTCAGATACCGCAATACATCATTTCTCGGACAAGAAAGTTGCCTGCTTGTCTGCTCGTTTGCCTGTTGGCTAGTGTTTGGCCACGTATTCTTTCTGATAAGAGACTTATGATAATTAACCGGTTCTTTCTTCGTGTTAATTTATCACCGACGCAATACTTATATATTCGGTTAGCATGATGTATCTCAGAACGAGGTCGGATAATATGTTCTTTTCTTTCTTCTTTGTTTTAGTTTTTTTTTTTAAATTATTTATCTGAACTATTCCATCGAATGTTGATGGTGATATATATATATATATATATATATAGGAGTGTTAATTAATTCAGAATTTTTTTGGAGTAATATATTTTGGTTCCCTCCGGTTATTTATTAAAAATTGATAAAAAGTTCGTAAAGAGTTCGTTTAAACATAAATTTTTCAAATTTATATTATAAAATATGTTTTTAATATGTTTATATATATATATATATTAAAATATAAATAAAAATATTTATTTTATATATTTGTAAAATATTAAAATTATATATTTTTTTTTAAACTTATATTATATAAAATATATTAAATATATTTTAATATATTATAATGCACGTTGTGTATTAAATATATTTTAAATATAATAAAATGCACGTTATGTATTAAATATATTTTAAAAATATATAAACTATAATTTAATATATTTTATTATATTTTTAAAATATAAATAAAAATATATATATATTTTATTATATTTATATATAATATATATTTTTAAAATTAATATTTAACTTGCATATATAAAGTTATTTAATTAATTTCAAAAAAAATTCTACTATTTTAAAAGAACACAACGAACTCTCATGAATTTTTGTTTCACCCTAATATTATTATAATTATTTAATAAAATTATATTATATAATTTATATATATATATATATATTATATTTAAAATATAATTTATTAATTATTAATTATTGTTAATATTAAAACAAAATCATTCCAGTAGATAAAAAAAAAAGATTGACATGATATAATATTATAATTTATATATTATTTAAAAAATCACGTTCTTTTTTATTTTAATTTTTTATTTTAATCTATTTTTTTGGAATCACCGCACAATGCACATTAGTTTCGTACCACGCGATGATTCATCGATGGGAAAGGAAGAAGGAAAGAGATAAAAGCAAAAAAAAAAAAAAAATACACAAAGTGTCCCAAAAGAGAAAAACAAAAAACCTTCCAAAAAAAAAAAGTAAAAAACAAAAAAACAACCAATTTCGTCCTTCGAACTCGTCCAGCCATAAATATTCGCGATATACATATACATATACATATATATATATATTACCAACGTATAATAATATTTCTTTTTTTTCCTGACAAATCCGCTCATCCCAATAATTACTTCTTCCTCGCTGATTATGACCTCGAACACGCGGCTATGGTTTCTCAATAAAAAAAAAAAAAATAAAAAAAATTAAAAAAAAGGAGAGTAGGAGAATAAAAATAAAAAAAAAAAAAGAGAGAGAGAAAAAGATGTAGGATCACGTTGAATCACCACGTCATTATGATTTGTCTCTTTAATATCTTTCTCTTTATCTATCTATCTATCTATCTCTCTCTCTCTCTCTCTCTCTCTCTCTCTCTCACTCTCTTTTTCTTTTCTCAAAGTTATTATGCGGCAGGGACGATCGAATTTCGTTATATGCACGACCCCGTCGTCGTGGTCGTTGCATAACTACATATATATATACATACATATATATATACTCACACAACTAGCCTTTTTGCAACGTGCAATTTTCAGGCATCACCTGGTACATACCTACACATTCGTACATACATGAAACAACATACACACACGCACACACATCCACATACACAAAAATGTACGTGAACTCTACCTCATATATACATAATACATACATATACACAAAACCAGCTCATGCATAGAGGTACAGCACATGAGTAGAGGTGGAGCACATGAGGTAGGGTGAAGGGAGAAGGGTGGGGGTGGGGGGTTAGGTTAAACGTAAACATATATATATGGAAATATACAGAAGCATAAGCTTTTGCCCACCAATGGTGGCATATTATTGCAGTTATACATCCCACATATGTATTACCTTAGTAAATATTCATCCATACCGTATTATAGTTAGCAAAAGGATAGTCCAGCGGAACGGTGAAGGGTGAAGAAGGGTGAGGGGAGGGGGGAGGTGGGCAAACGCGTATGCACTACTAAAACAACCGACTTAAACTCTCATACGTGCGGTTTTATCGGACTTCTCTCTCTCTCTCTCTCTCTTTCTCTCTTGAGCTAATTCATACGTGAATTTAGAAAGTTTCTTTGTGGGATTTGAACCTAATTGTTGCAACTTGCGCAACCAACAACATACACACATTATACAAGTATATGTAACAACAACCGTCCGTCCCGTCCGTCCCCGTTCGTTAGTTCCGTTTCGGTCTGTTCTGCGAAAGTCCCTCACCCACCCCCACCCTTCACCCCTTTCGTCCTATCTCGTGGTGTTAGCTTGATTTCTGTTCCTTTTGTTTCAACTTCTTCATATACTTATGTTTCTATTATCATCATAGTACTTGTAATAACGTAACAATAATAATGATATAGGAAGAAAAATGTTCTTTTTAGCAGCAAATGCAACTGTAACTGCAGCAACGTTGCATTACATTGCATTGTGTTGCGTTGCGTTACTAATATGTAAGTTAGTATATTAGAAGCTTTAACATTAATGTTATCAGTAAAGTGTCATCATTTTGTTTAGTTATTTTAAGATTTGACAATGAGAATGGGGAGAACCATTTGTTGAAGATAATGATAGGGGGAAATAGGAAATATAACCGGTACGAGATTAGGTTTTATGTACTACTGTATACTTTCTAATCGCTAATTGTTATCACTTATGTATTTTTACGAAAAAAATATAGATAAGAAATGAATAAAAGAAATGGGTCGATTGTCTCTCAATTATTAAACATTTTTATGTCTTTTAACATAATATCTTTTTGATCAAATTGACCCGAAAGCAATGTAATTATTTTACAAATTTATTATTTAATTAAATTTATATATTAATTATATTTATTATATTTTTATTTATAAGTTAAAAGTTAAATTAATTTATATTACATTTAAATATTATAATTATTAAATTTAAAATTTAAAATTTATTACTTAATTAAATTTATATATTAATTATATTTATTATATTTTTATTTATAAGTTAAAAATTAAATTAATTTATATTACATTTAAATATTATAATTATTAAATTTAAATTTAAATTTAAAATTTAAAATTTATTACTTAATACCATGTATCCCGAAAGGGAAGCATTATTTTAAATAAAAAAAAAAAAAAACAAAAATTTATTACTTAATTAAATTTATATATATATATATATATATATAAATTATATTATTAAAAATTTGTTTTAATTATTAATTGAATTTTTTGTTCGGTGAAATGAATCAATGATGACGATAATAATTAATATAAACAATTATATAAAATAATTTACAATTAAATGATATTACCTTGAACTTTTTTTTTATTTTCTTTTTCTCTCCCCTCTCTCTCTTTCTCTCTTTTTTGCCAATAAACCTTGAAATATCCAGATAGACGAGAAATTCGAATAAAAAGAAAAAAAGTGAAATAAATAAAAATACAAAGAGTTAAAAAGTAACAGAAGAGAGAATTATTCGCATCAGAACGTGAACGTTTTTCTTGCGGCCAGAAAGTCAAGCAGGATACTAACACACACACATATAATAATACACACACATTAACTATACTCATAATGGGTGACGAGAACGTGTAAAAGAAACATGCGAATATTATTGTTAAGAGAGTTGTTTTATTACGTAAAACGTAATTTTTTGTTGTTAATATTTCTACAACGAGTTAAAGGAATCACGGATTGAACAACAAATTCCGTATTGACTGATCGATCATGACGTTTTTCAAGGAGACAACTATGACGATGATGACGACAATGATATGTTGAAAAAATTCTTTTTTTTTTTTTTTTTAAAACTTGCATCAAATTATTTTTATTTTTTTTTTTCTGGATCGTCATAGTAATCTTATCATAGTTCCTTCGAAATACTTTGAAGAGATTCTAACGTGTTGAAAGAAATCGTTTTTTTTTTCTTTTTATGAGTCATGTTTGAGTTTTCAGTGGAATTGAAAACCAACGGAAATGGATGTGAATTTTTTTTAAGTTGTTTTCAGATCAAATAATTTCATTTAGAAAGCATTTATAATTTATATAGTTACTTGATCGTTTAATTTCAAATATAGATTATAGATTACAAACTTCGTATTTTAATTTGTGTGTTCTTTTTATTGAATATACATGATTTTTGTTTATATTTTTTATTTACACATTATATTGCTCGTCGTATATATTTATTATTTAAAACAATTTATTTCTATTACTTTCAACGTCTAAAATAAAATTATTTAAAAATGTATTTCTTTATTATTTTAAATTTAAAAAAAATTATGTAGAAAAATTAGATTTTTGCTTGACGTCAAAATTAAGAAACTAAACTTAAAAAAAGAAAAAATATTTAAACAAAAATTAAGAAAGAAAGATGTCTAATGTTGTCTTTGTATTTTTTTTTGTAAATTAATTAATTCATTAAAATTAAATTCGATAAAATTAATTTCATCTTTTGCAGATATTTCTCATGTTCACAATTTTAAAGTTCACCGATAGTTTTATTCTAAAGTTCATTTAAACTTTTGATACATTTATTATAATAATAGATAATAACAGAATGAACATTTGGATATGTAATAATTTAAACATTGTTTTTCATATTGATTTGACGTATAAGTTTTTTTTTTGTTCTTTGTTTGAACTACATTTAATTATTATTACGAAAATACAAAGCAAA